TAAACCAAAGATAAAAATAAATTATAAATAAATATCTATTAATAAATCATCTGGAAACATTAAAAATGAATCACTATTAAAACCTTGATTCGTAAGACGTTTTTCAAAATTTCCTTTGTGGATTCTTTTTTTTTTTCTTGTTTTTTTTATTTTATTTCCAACTTTACAAACTGTTAAAAACTACAATACACATTATTTGCTTGCAAAATAATGGAACAAAAGTCACTCCATAACAGCTGTACTTCCTGTAGGTAGTTACCTGAATGAGTAAAGTCAGGCCGTGGATTGTTACAGTATGCATAATGCTGTATTGTATATGGGAAATTATGTTTTGATTTTCTTCTTAAAACTGTTTTTATACATTTTACCAGCATCAGTTTTCCATATAAAAATACAATTAAGCTATTAATGATCAAGATGCTAGGAGTCATAAAATGAAACAACGCTGATGCTAAATTGGGGAGTACACAACATGTACGTTTTTATAAACTTTTCTGTAAATCGATGAATCACTAATTGGTACACTATTATTTGACGTACGCAGTGGCGGTTCTAGACCAAATTTAGCAAAAATCCAAATTTATTTAGTTTGAAAATGTTTATTTTTGGCTTGAAAATGTTCATTTAGATTATCCTTAAAATCATAATAAAAATCCCTTAGCATAGCAAAAAAGCAAATAAAAAATTGTAGCTATATAAATATCTAAAAGATCAAATAAAGCTATTATTTAGAGTACTAGGTCAATATACATTCATAATTTAGGAATTTTACATATTTTCAACTTAATTGAAGTTAAAATTACAGTTTTCTATAAAAATCAGAATTAGAACTCAAGAAAAACCGATAAATTCAGCTGTAAAAAGTAGAGTATTTTTTATTTGTTTTGAAAAAAAAAACATTTAGCAGATGAAAAAAAGGATCCCGTCTCAATACTACTGAACCTATCATCTTTTTTTTTTAAATTTAATTATAAATAAAACAGAAATTTTTGAAATAAAAAAAATAAATAGATCCTATCAGTAACCATGTCTGTTCCAGCGTATATCATCATTAGAATTTCTTTAAGTATTATGTCTTCAGTTCAGGGGCCATAAGAAGGGCCAGGACAGGATCTACAGGGGCACTGGCCCCCGTTGGCCCCTGTCTAGAACCGCCCATGACCCTGCGTCATAACCAATGTCAGCTGGAGTTAGGCACCAACCCAAGGATCAACTGCAACAGATTATATTGAAGATATTTGATGATTAAAAAAACATTTTTATTTCACATAGAAAAAGGAAACATCTGAGTTCTCAGGATTCAAAAACATTTTCAGAGCCCAATACTGAACCGCTTTATATATTCTCACTAACATTTTTAACTAGCTGTCTCTGAACAGGTTTACATCAACCAAACACGTTCTCTAGACATGAATAAATGTCTGGTGATATTTAGAAACTTTATTCATTTGAGTCGGTTGGTTTCTTCCCATGAAGCCAGTTTCTTTAGACAGACAATTCATTTTATCAGTCAAATTGGAGGCTTTGGGTGAACCATCCAGAAGATCAATCTATTCCAAAATCAGTTCAATCACTTATCTCTAGATTTTGATCTTCATTCGTTATTCCATCTCTTTAGTCCAATGCAGCAGCTTTACTAGCAGCAAGGACGCCCCGCAGTATGATGTTGTTACCTCCATGCTAGACAGTTGATGCTGTGCTCTTATGTTTAAAAGGCATTCATTTGTTCACTTAAGGTGTAATTCTTTGATTTTTTAGCTCAGTTGTTCTCTCATATGATCATTAAGCTTTTTTTGTGGATGGATGCAGATTTCAATCAGGCTTGAAGGTGTAGATTGGGATTATCCATCCGTCCATTCATCCATTTTCCGTCACGTTTATCCACCCAGGACAGGTCGCCAGTCCATTGCAGGACAACACAGAGACAAACAGGGCAAACAACCATTCACACACACACACACCTAAGGAGAATTTAGAGAAGACAATTAACCTAACAGTCATGTTTTTAGGCTGTAGAAGGAAGCCGGAGTACCCAGAGAGAACCCCCGCATGCTTAGGGAGAACATGCAAACTCCATGCAGAAAGACCCCGGGCTGCGAATCGAACTCGAAACCTTCTTGCAACAAGGCCACCATGCAGCCCTGATCGGGAGTAGTGTCCCCTTTTCTGGCTCGGCACCCTCTCAGTCAAATGCTGTGAATTTCTGTTCACTATAGGAAATAAATTCTTATTTATGGAGTGAGACAACTGCCAATAAAAACATACATTATGTCTAAATTTATAAATGAAAGTCAAAAACGGAAATAAATGGAACATTTGTTTTTGTTCCTTGTGATATAATCTTAAATACACGTGACATCACATCATCTGTCAGAATGCAAGTTAGAAAGTTACAACCCTGTAATAATACAATTATTACATAAAATAATCTTGGAATTTGCATCCATCATTTTTTTATTTGTACTGGGGAATTTGTTATTTGTACTCATAAATTTTTGATTCCTACTGGTAAATTTGTGATTTGTACCTATATTGTTAAGCTTTAATTTTGTTACTCATATTCCTAAAGCTGTAGATATTTCTATTTGAGTTCAAATACATTTTTTTATTAAGGTTTTTAACTTTCATTTACATATTCAGACATCTAGTTGTTATTTACAGTTATACCATATACTTGTATTTTCAGTCATTTCTAGCAGACGTTGGCTTTCAGGTTGACTTTTTGAAACTTACTACGGAAGTAAGTTTACAGGCTTTACTGGTTATTGGTTTAAAGAAAGTATATCTGATGATATAGTAGACCAAACTTTACATTTTCTATTTATTTTATTTAAATAAACTTAATTCAGTATAATATGAGAGCTCTTTATAATCTAAGGTCTTGGATATTAACAAATTATTGATACAAATAGTTTTGCTGTCGTTTAATTCGCATGAGACGCTGTCCGATTAAGGAGGAATAGGAGGTTAAAAAAAAGTAGGCAAAAAGCATACATTGGCGCCATCTACTGACCGAAGCAGGTAACACAACAACAATGTAGGAAGGTTACATTTTAGAAAACCACCTTTTTTTTTGTGGCGAGTTTATAGGCTCCTTCTTTTTTTTTTTTTTTTGCATTAGTATTTTATTTATTTAAATCTATTTTTATAAATATATTTACAAACACAACAAATATAAAAAGAAAACTGGGCAGCCATTAACGAGGAGGAAACTGAGAGTGTAAAAAATACCATACTATTCAAGATTTTTATGATGCGATGGAGTGTTAGGGCCAGGTTAGAGATTTTTTTTTTGTTTTTAAGAATAAAGAAGTAACATTATGTGAAGGAATTTATCATACCACAACCCATTTCAGAAAGAAAGCTCCACCAATCAGCAACCTGAGTCAACTTTGACCTTCTGCCCAATATGATGCTGGTGCTAAAAGATTTCCTTATTTGTCAAACCAGAGCCAAAATATAACTTCACATGATGCTCCACATTCCTCATTTCAGGAAAGAAATTATTTCTGTTAAGAGTTGTCATAAAATACAACAGTTTTTTTGTTGTTGTAATTTTAGGACTTAATACTTTTAATATCACCACTTTACGATTTTATTCTCGTAATTGTATGACTTTATTCTCATAATGATACGACTTTATTCTGATATATTTTACCACTTTATTCTCCTAATTTTATGACTTTATTCTCGTAATTTTATTACTATATTCTTGTAATTGTATGACTTTATTCTCGTAATGTTACGACTTTATTCTCATAATGTTGCGACTTTGTTCTCGTAATGTTCCGACTTTGTTCTAGTAATTGTAGGACTTTATTTTCGTAATGTTACGACTTTATTCTCATAATTTTATATCTTTATTCTTGTAAAGTTAAGGCTTTATTCTTGTAATGTTACGAATTTATTCACATAATTTTACAACTTTATTCTCATAATGTTATGACTTTATTGTGATAATTTTACAACTTTATTCTCCTAATTTTATAACTTTATTCTTGTAATTTTATGACTTTATTCTCGTAATTGTACGACTTTATTCTCATAATGATACGACTTTATTCTGATAATTTTACGACTTTATTCTCCTTAATTTTATGACTTTATTCTCGTAAATGTACGACTCTATTCTCGTAATGTTACGACTTTACTCTGATAAAATTACGACTTTGTTCTCGTAATTTTATGACTTTATTCTCATAATGTTACAGCTTCATTCTAGTAATTGTAGGACTTTATTTTCGCAATGTTATGACCTTATTCTCATAATTTTACAACTTTATTCTTGTAATGTTACGACTTTATTCTTGTAATTTTACGACTTTATTCTCATAATGTTATGACTTTATTCTGATAATTTTACGACTTTATTCTTGTAATTGTACGACTTTATTCTCATAATGTTATGACTTTATTCTCGTAATTTTATGACTTTATTCTGGTAATTGTACGACTTTATTCTCGTAATGTTACGACTTTATTCTGTTAAATTTACGACTTTATTCTCGTAATGTTACGACTTTATTGTTGTAATGTTACGAATTTATTCACATAATTTTACAACCTTAATCTCGTAATTTATGACGTTATTCTCATAATGTTATGACTTTATTCTTGAAATAGAAGGAAAAAAATCTCTAGCCTGACCCTAATACTCCATAGTTTAGGAGGAATAAGAGGTTAAAAAAAAAAAAGTAAGCAAAAAAATCATACATTGGCGCCACCTACTGACCGAAGCAGGTAACGCAACAACAATGTAGGAAGGTTAGATTATAGAAAGCCACCTGTTTAAACCTTTGTGAGTGGATACTTCTTTTTTTCATTAGCATTTGATTTACTTAAAAAGTACAAAAAAAAGGCAAAGACAAAAGAAAGCTGAGCAGCCATTAACGAGGAGGAAATGGAGAGTGAAAAAATATACTATTCAAGATTTTTACAGACAGTTTTTAAAGTTTTATTTTACACAAACATTGATATTGCCCAACTTAAAAAAGTAAAAACCTTGTTTAAGAACGAATACCCTCCCTGACAAAACTTTACTGTGAACCAATGGCTGACCAGTGATTTTAAAGACGGCCAATTAATAGACCAATAAAAACGCAGTAACTAGGTAAAGTTGCGGAAGTGGCAGCTGTCTTGTCCAATCAGAGAGCTTCAGCGCTGAACGTGAGCTGACCGACGCCTGCACGCAGGCAGCTGCTGCGCAGAAGAGGGGGGCAGGAGCCGAATGGTGGAGCTGAAGATGGCGGATGGCGACAGTGGGAGTGAGCGTGGTGGAAGTAGCGGAGGAGGAGGAGGAGGAGGCTTCCAGCACTTCCACAGGGACCAGGAGACCCAGGAGCTGGCCTCCAAGCGCCTCGACATCCAGAACAAACGCTTCTACCTGGATGTCAAGCAGAACAGTAAAGGCAGGTTCATCAAGATCGCCGAGGTCGGGGCCGGGGGCTCCAAAAGTCGCTTGACCCTCTCGCTGTCAGTTGCGGCGGAGTTCCGTGACTACCTCGGGGATTTCATCGAGCACTACGCCCAGCTGGGCCCCAGCACTCCGGAACAAATAGCCCAGGCCACCGCGGGGGAAGACGGCGGGCCGAGGCGAGCTCTGAAGAGCGAGTTTCTGGTCCGGGAAAACCGCAAGTACTATCTGGACCTGAAGGAGAACCAGCGGGGGAGGTTCCTGCGGATCCGGCAGACCGTCAACCGCGGACCTGGCTTTGGAGTAGGGGGGCCCGTGGGGGGCATGCTGGCCGGTCAGACCATTGCCCTTCCGGCGCAGGGGCTGATAGAGTTCAGAGACGCCCTGGCGAAGCTCATAGATGATTACGGAGGAGACGACGAGGAGCTGACGGGGGGCATGGCCGCGGGGGGCTTCAGCGAGCTCCCCGAGGGCACCTCCATCATGGTGGACTCCAAGCGCTTCTTCTTCGACGTCGGATCCAACAAATACGGAGTGTTCCTGCGGGTGAGCGAGGTGAAGCCCAGCTACAGGAACTCTATCACCATCCCCTTCAAAGCCTGGAGCAAGTTCGGAGGAGCCTTCTGCAGGTACGCCGAGGAGATGAAGGAGATCCAGGAGCGGCAGAGGGACAAGATGTACGAGAGGAGAGAGGAGTCCGAGGGGGACGACGTGGATGACGACTGAGCGCGTGGATCACCGCGGCTGTTAGTCCAGATGCACCACAGATGTGCAGCATAGGGGTATTTTTTCATTAAAGAAGAAAAAAAAGCAGAAACGACAGATAAAAGTGCATGATGAATCGTGCTGTAATAGCTTACTAAAAGTATTGTGGCGTAAAACAAAGTACATGTGCAGGGACTGATTGGTGTATATCTCTAAAAGTTTGTAGGGGTTGGAGGTGTTGTGTGCAAGAAAAAGATGTGGAAAATGAGATATTTCTCATTGGTTTTAAAGAAAAATACCAAGAGTGAGTTATGCTTTTACTTTGAAAGGAAACAAAAGGAAATGGAGGTGCTACTAAAACCAGCAGTTTGGGTTTTTATTTTATTTTCTTAAGCTAGAACTGAAACCAGTGATTTCTATCCGACGACAGAGTATTAGGGCCA